GTGCATCTGAATACTCATGTTCTACATGTTAGCATGCACATATGTGAGCATTTGTTTGTGTATGCACTCTGCTACCAGGAACAACTTGAGTGCAAACTTCAGCTTGGAGGGCATCCTTGGCTGGCCTGTACCCCAACACTACATCTTAGCAGTTTTTCTTCTTGGGCAAGTTACAGTGTCTTTTTTGAGTCACAGTATGTGAAACTGCATGTTTAGTACTCCCAGTGAAACAACTCCGAGCTACTTGGCTGGTTCGCCTACAGTAATTAAGCTGAATGTACAAAATGTATACAAATTTTGGTTATAGAATCTTCAGTATAAATGATTTCCCTACCAAACAACAATTTTGGTATCTGAATGAATAGATTGTCTGTGCAAAGATTCCTTGCCTTAATTAATATTGTAGTAACTATATGAGCGAGACATATTTATCTCGATTTTCCTTATGGGAAAAACTAGGTTCCTGAGGTGAACTAGTCTGCCCAAAGTTACCCAGGAAGTTTTTAGAGGGGTTGAGACACAACCTCCCAATAGCTTCCAAAACCAGCCTTGCAATGACTCTTTGCTACATTATAGCTCAAGGTTTCAGTGAAGAGCAACACTATGGTGATGGTGGAATTGGCACTGGTATCCTGGTTATCGTTATCCAGCTATATGTTTGCCTGCTGCTCTGATACCAGTTTCCCCTGGTATCCTAGCTGGCACATGATTTCTCACAGCTAATCCATGAGTTTCACACTGGGGGAGATACTAGAAAGAAGGCACAGGGGAAAACTCGAGTTGGATAGCAACAAGTGTGAATGTCAGTGCTGCCACATCCTAAAAGCACTGGTGTGGCCTTGCAAGGTTGCTGACAGCCCTTTAACTGCTTCACACCACTGCGTCTGATGTTCATCCCAGGAAGCAACAGAAGGAGAATCACTGGGACCTGACTATTTAATCCCTTCCTAATCTCTGGGGTCTTCTAAGCCCTTTTAACTCTTTAAATATTGAGCTTTAAGAACTTGGTTCACAGCAATGTGCAATCATAACAGGGTCAGGTACTGAGCTATGAAATGAAAGAAAAGCATGGAACAGAACTGTGGGAGGGATACCTTGAAACTAACTCAGATACCGTCATTGAGAAAGAAAAGCCAAATCCTATTTACAAAATCACTGCTTTTGTTTGGCAAGATATACAGACTCAATTTTGCACAGAAAATTGCTTAGGAAGAAAGCTCTCAGTGGAGCCCTTCAAAGGCAATTTAATATTTTTAATAAGGCAAATCTTTCTGATTCTCAACTATTTAACCATGAAATCTTAAAATCCACTGAAAGGCTATCTTTAATAAATGCTGCTTTACAATTATATTGTCTGTTTAATAGCCTGGGAATATTAATATCTGTAGACACTTAAATTCAATCATAATGACAAACATTGAGCTTTTTAAATTGCCTTTCGTGTAATTTAATGTAATTCAGAGCCCATAAACTATGTGTTTATTTTTTTGATACTGTACCTCTCAAAATGGTAAGGTAAATTTACTCAACAAATTACAAATATTTCTAAGTAGTGTGTCTGTCTCTATGCATTCCTTTAGACATGTATAACATTATAATATATGTATGTGTATATATATATATATATATATATATATGTATGTATATGATGCACACTCACCCTAATAGGAATGTGTGAGAAGTTCTGAATGAATGTTTTTCAAAATGTTTGGGCAGGAGTTAGACTCAGTAGAGAATGATTATACCATGGTACCAGGAGAGGTGAAAAGGCTAAAGCCAGTTTCTGTTCATAAGACAGATGTGGTATGAAATTTTTCTCAAATTGAGATTTCTCTCTTAAGGACAGTTTTTGGTACATCAGGGCTCAGGCTATCTTCCAAAGATAGGTGGTTTCTATGAGACTGGGATCCCATATAATAAAGATAATCACCATTTCCACTTCATGGACTTTATGGAAGATTTAGTACAGAATAGTATGTGAAGGACAGAAGTATTAGCATCTTCTTCATTGTTTCTATACACCTGTTAGGACACACACAAATGTATGACTTTGACCTTTGGGACAGGTATAATCTCATTCTACGAGTTAAAAATGCCCTTTCTATTGGCACACGCACTGGTCAAAAAGTATTTGTCATGGTCAGAAAGGTGCAAAAGCGCGTATCTGAGTCAATATAAAATGACTCCAATGCTTGAAAGCAAATTGGGCCTTCAAATGTCTATTGATGGGTTCATCTTGTCCACTGTCTAAAACTGCAGCTTTTATGCACTCATTTCTCTCTTCAGCCTTGGTGTTCTCCATGACTCTCTTGCCATCATACATGCACTTTATTATAACTTATTTGTTTTGCTTGTTTTTCCTCTAGACTAGAATATAAGATTTGTCCACGCAGGAACATATGTCTGATTCATTCACTATTATGTAGTGTTTTATTTTTTTTACCAAGGAATGTATCACAAAATGAATTAATGATGACCAGTACATGTCATTACACAAATGCTCACATATCTATGGCCAAAGGACACCTGGAAACTATTATGAATGGTTCATTATGAGGTTTATGTTGCTTTCATGGTTCAGTTCTAATATGCCAAATTGCTTAAAACAATTTCTTTTTTTGTATGCGTGTGTATATATGTATGTGCTGGCTTAAATTCCAGGTTGGGGTATTCTCCCTTTGCTTTTTTTTTTTTTTTTGCTCCAGGATGGTGCTCTACTACTTGAGCCACACCTCCACTTACAGTGTCTTTGGATAGTTAATTGGAGGTAAGAGTTTCATGAACTTTTCTGCCTAGCTGGCTTAGAACCATGAAGATCTCAGCCTCTTGCATAGCTAGGATTACAAACATGAGCTCATGTGATTTGTTCATTTTTAAGTTTTCTTCTATTAGTCTCACCAACAGTTTTACCTGTTTAGCTCTCTCTTTATAGAGGGAGGGAGGATAGTTCACACCTTAGATGCTTATCTTAGATTTATAGAAAAACATAAGCCATAAATGAGAAGTTAATCCTTCCACTCTCCCAGGCAGATTTTCTGCCATTTACTGCTTGTAAATTCCTATTGTATACTCAATTACAAGAAATCATAACATGGTTATAAAAAGCACTACTAGTAAACAGGCAGACAACTTTTTATTGCCCTCTGCTCCAACAGCATTTGGGAAATCTGTCAAATTATCCTATGGCAGATTGAAAAGAGGGATTGTTGTAGAAGTCATGGCCTGACTACTAGTGACAAAGTTTCCCAATTTTACCTCTTAGGAATCACTATTTAGAAAACTCTAGCTGTGGAAGATAAGACTATGGAGATTTTAAAAGAGAAAGAACCAGGGTAGATCAAGCAAAAGAACTGAAAACCTACCCCAGCGAGGACTGAGTTCATGAGTCTTGAACAATGACTTAACTTCTGTCTAGTGCTATGACACAGAGTGGACAATGTTTGACCATTCAGGTGGGGAACAATGCTTTCTGGATGTAATTCCCTCATGTCCCCAATTCCTTAAGTTTCAAAACCACTTAATTTTGCAGAACTTTCCCTAAGTAAAAAACCTGCACTTTGCTCACACAGGAAGAAACAGAATGTACTATTTGTATTTTCCAAAGCCAGTACAAGTACTTATGTGTTCAATGCTGTTGAAGAGAGTCTAAGATGATGCAGATGGTGTTGATAAATGTGACTTAATTTCTTCTTTTTTTTTTCTTTCTTCTGAACTGGTTGTAGGGCTGGAACTCAGAGCCTGAGCTCTGTCCCTTAGCTTTTTCTGTTCACGGCTGGCACTTTATCATTCAGCCACAGCTCCACTTCTAGGTTTTTTATTGTTTGCTTGGAGATAAGAGTTAACTGGAGATAATGGTTAATTGGGAGATAATACTTTCCTGTCCATTCTGGCTTTGAACTATGATCATCAGTTTAACCTCCTAAGTGAAGCAGATTAACTTAAGGAAACTGAGGCCTGGTGAAGGCAACTCAGAAATATGCTATTCAGAAACTTAGAAATGTTATCTTTGCTTCAAAGAGAGACAACTGCATGCATTCTTTCCTGAGAGATGCATTTCTCACCCAAGGACTAACAACTGTCTGACAGGATGCCCCAAAATGCAGATAGCTAGGCACCTAAGGCACCTCCTTGCTTCAAGGATAAGGATCTATTTTACGGGAGGATGTATTTTGCCTGGAAACTCAGAAAATAACATGGCGTGGTTAGCGCAAAGACAAAGCACCTAGCTTTACATAACTTAAAGTCAGATCCCCTGCCTTTACCCCATAAATACCCCAAGAGCCCAAGGAGCTGTGTGCCTCTCTGGGTGTCTGCGTGTGTGTGTGTGTGTGTGTGTGTGTGTGTGTATGTGTCTGCATGTTTGTCTCTCTATCTCTATCTCCCTATGAGAGCACCCACACTCTGCTGGAGTGTGCCGTTATCCTTCTGTTTGTCTCCTTTTTTGTCTGTCTGCTTCCCTGCTTGTTTATCTACTCAATAGGCTCTGCCAAGTTTTCTTACCATTGTGACTTGTCCAGAAATTCTTAATCTGCGATCAAAGTCAAGGACCCTAAGTGAAAAGTTTCCACGTTTAAAGGGAAGCTTCACTAAACCTCACCTCTGTCTGGTGACACTAAGTAGTTAGGATTTACAGGCTTGAGCCACTGGTACCCAGTTTACAGTTTCTTTCTTTTTGAGCCTTTCATTTTGACCTTCACTTCTCCATGTCTAGGGAATTTAGCCCCACGATTGGCTAGCAGTGAATTTAGAGACAAAGGCTTCAAGTTGATCTATTACCAGGAAGAAGGGCAGTCTAGCTGGAAAAGAAAGGCACGTATGAAAACATGAGCCTTCTGGATAACCTCCTGGAGTCTCTAAGATGCGCATACAAGCAACACATGCATTTATTTCTCTGGATCCTGCCACTTTGGGGGCTTTGCCACAGGACCAAGTGGCAGAGTAGGAAACCATAGCTGAGATTGGCCCATTGCAATTTCCACCATGCTGAGCAAGGCACTTACCAGCACTGACAGTGATAGCTTCAATGAACTGTTCTCTCCAGCTGTTTGTCCCCACCACAAGGGCCAGGTTTGTCTTCTTAATGAGTTTGTCCACGGTGTTCTAGAAAGGTGGAAAGGAAAAAGATGAAGACTGCCGAGCTTGTTGAGGCCTCAGGAAATCTAAGAGCTTGTTGATTTGGAAACCTCAGTTACATAAAGAGGGTAGCAGATGTTAGGCTTCCCACAACAGCACTGACATCAAACACTTCTGTGATTATGCAAAACAAGCATATTCCTTACTTGAAAACAGAAACTTCTTTGAAGCAAAGGCAAGCCTCCTTCACAGACTAAAAGCCAATAAAGAATACCCTGAGTGCTTAGAATAATAGCTGTTGTGAAGGCCCATCCCTTCCCCTCCAGTGCTTTGTGAACTTGCTTCTCAACTGCTGTTGTACACTGCCTGCAACTGACCGGACATAGGCTCTGCTTGACATTCCATATGTACTAATGCCAAAGACTTTTTCTCCCTCTTTTATTTGTCAGTGAAATGTAAGCAGGTAATAGTCTCAGCTACTTGCTGCATGATCATGAATAAATGTTATTTTCCTTGAGGTATTAGTTTGGTCAGCCTCAGGGCTATTAGAGAATTCCATTCTCACCCTACTCCTGTTGCAAATCAAGAAAAGACAAACAAATACAGATCAATCCCAATGGTTTAGGGCATATGGCTAATAGCCTTTCGCTGATTTTTCTCTGCTTTTCTAGCCCTGAGCAGTATGCTCTGTATTTTTCCTTAGGACTTGTTAAACACTTAGTTTTGTACAATTAGCACTCTAGCTTTCTAAATCCAGTCGCTGTAACAGCCAACTGGTCATGAGAAAAATGAAATAAATGGTTACGCTCAAAGCGCTACTACAAATCATGGCAACTACAAGAAAAAGGGTCATTTTCCAGGACATTGAGGCTGCTCTTCTCTAACAAACAACCACATTGACTGTTGTATGGAACATTCACACTTACTGCCAGAGCATCCTAGCATTTCCACCAGTTGCAAAGAGGCAGAAAAAACAGGTATTGGGTTAACATCTGTACATGTTTCATGCAGTGTACTGCATTGACTGTGGCTTAAGAGAGCATATTATCAGCTACATAGGATTGAGGAAAATGTGATCTGAGGGCTCGTATGAGAGGCCAAATCCAATTTATAATATCAGGCATGTTAGTTCAAGAAGAGACATTAGAACTGACTTGAAACATTGAGAAGATAATAAACATGAAAGGGCCCTTCTCTGATTGGCTCACTCTATGTTTGTAACATTATTCTTGGCTGGATTGTATGTCCTTAGGGTGGTGACCTTTCAGCTGCTAGCCTTGTGTAGAAAACTGCTGGTGCTCCTGATCACAGCTGTAATAGTCACTGCTCTTGGGCACAAGTTGAACCACATGACAAGCATCTGTCTTTTCTCTCCCAACTCAGCCACATTTCATCAAGCACTCCGGGCATCTTGGTTGATGCCAATTCAAAGTGCTGTGTGGAATATAGCCAGAAATGACCTCGATTTTCCCTAAATGTAATGGAAACTCGGAGGCACTCTTTGAATTGAAGCCAAGACAGTGAATCCTATCACCTGGGAGAAAAACGGTCGAACACTCTTTTAACAGCTGAACATAGACTTCCTCATGAAAGATCTTGCTAAAGAACACATTTTTTAAGATAAAGCTAAACTCAATCATTAGATTTCTGTGGTACAGAGTAATTCACATTACCCCTAGAGATAGCGCCAAGATTCTGCCAAGGCTTAATTTGCATATGTGTCCTTCTTTGACCTATGGGAGCAAGCTGAGTGAATAATGATGAGTTTGAAGTTCAGATGCCTGAAGTTGGACAATGTACTGCTCTATTTGCCTGGAGGATTCCTCAATTCCAGTGATCAGCTCTTCACTACACTACACGGTCAGAGACTTTGAGAGGCCTTAGTAAAGCCTTACTCTCACTCAAAACAAAGCAAGAAAGATCTTAGCAAAACAGAGGGTTATATGAGATGTTACCCAGATTTAGGTTTGTAATGTAATGCTAGGAACCTTGAACAAATTCTTCAGCTATATTCTATTAAAAGAAGTTTCTTAAGAGAGCAATAAAATGGAATATAATATAAGTGGAATATGATATCACAGTTGATACCTGAGGGTACTTCAGAAACATGCCCTGAGGGTGCCCTTTAGGTGTTAATGGTAGCCCTGCTAATTAACTTGAAGGAGAAGAGAACAAATAATCTGGGATACTATTCTAGGAAGGTATGTGAACCAAACAACTGGACTTCTGTAAATAGATTGGAGGACTTTCTGATGCTCAGATTGTTGGAGTGATAACCAGATAGGGATTCAGATCAAGAAAGTTCTTCTTTCTGGAAGACTTACCCTGCCCAAGGCTTCCTACAGAAGCTATGAGGTTTGTTCTTCCTCTTATGGGTGCAAGGCTGGGCAGGCTGGGATTGTCTCATAAATGGGAGAATGCACAATTCTCCATGAAATCTCGGGGAAGGGTCGTGACAATCTTGTTCCAGAAATGCTAAACTACCGAATCTCTACTGCAGCAATTGGTGCAAGGCTCTTTGATACAGGAAGAGTGTGATTGGATACCACCTGGACTAAACCTCAACAGATCTGTCCAACAAGAAAAGGTGGTTTGAGATTACTGTTCGGCTGGGAATACAAGGAACAGATAAATATTCCATCCCTGGTTGTACAAAAAAACCAAAACCAAACAAACAAACAAAACAGAGTCAAGGTTCTTATGGTCAGGGTCTGCACAGAAAGCCTCACTTCTAATGTGTTTCCCCATCTTCTCTTTCTATGGGAATGAGTGGCAGAAAGAATTAACTTCCTCAGTGGCCTGAAAGAGAAAGTTTAATTGCACTCTTATCTTTAAAAATGTCCATTTCTATTACAAAGACACTTTTTACCTGTGTCCTATCAAGCACTACAGTTTGTAAGCTGAGATAAAAAATAATTAGTGAACCTCCTAGGTAAAGGAAAAGAGGATATATATATATATATATATATATATATATATATATATATATATATATATATAAATCCCAGGTAAAAAAATACTGAAGCTTCTAAATTAATGGCTCCTGATTCTCCATTTTGGAACATTCAGGTTGATTCTGTCTGTCTCTTTATGGGCAGGCTCAGGGCCCGATTGTGAAATCTAAGTAGGGAAAATACTGCTCTTCTCTGGGCTTATAATTGGAGGACACCTGATTGTATCCCCCTGAAGTGGCTCCACTGAAGGCCTTCTCACGTGTTCAGGGTGGTGGTAGGAAATAATGGGGGGAGGGGTCCCAAGGGAGTAGTACAGGACTGGACAGGAAGTTTCACTTCAGGTCTGCAGCTCACTCCAAGGTCCATATATAAACTTTTTAAAAAGAATGACTTTTATCACCTGGGAAATTGGGCCTCTAGTTTCCACCAGCTCAAGTATAAACTCTATGGTTGCAGGCACTACTCTTCATTATGGCAAGGACTGTCAAAGGCTTTCCCATCTGTTGAGAGTGACTGCAAACGAGAGCTTGTCAATGGGACGCTCCATACTATCCCCCTTCTGAAGCAAAAGCCTCTTGCTTTGCTTGGAACAGATTTCTTAGCTCCTACAAAGAGTTTGGATTCTTCCATCCATAAGAAGCCCTTGAGATCCACTCCTATGCCCTCCTTGCTATCTCTTTAGACAAGGCTTTCTTTTGGGGGCACCTTTCCCCTTATGTTGCAGTAGCTGTCACTTCCTTGGCCTGGGCTCTGCTGTTTATAGGACTTTCTGGTTCAATGCTAGTTCCCTAATTCCAAGTTGGCTTCGAAGGCCTTATAATGAATAAACCAGTGCCTCCAATGATATCTTCTCCTCTTTCTATCAGCTCAGGCCAACATAGTGAGCAACCTTCAATAGCCTCTTGAATGGGGGCAATAGGGGACATACCTTGAATTCATAGGATTCTTCAATGATCACCTCCAGCCTGGTGTGTTCTCCCAGGATGGGGCGCCCCAGTTCCGCGATGCGCCTTTTCTCTTCTTCTTTGCTTGTCAGTGGCTTCTTGACATCACCTTCCTCTGGGAAAGGGAAGGCAAGAGAGTGAACAATATGCTGCTCTCAATCTTGCTACCAGAAAAGCAAGGCGGCAAGAAGCTGTCCTTTAAGTCCCTTGAGTGAGCACTTGAGGCTGAAGGGGAGAACTGGTAGATGTTTGGTGGGCTGAGCAACATATTACAAAGACGGCAGATGATTTTAATATCCTATAGTCAAATTGCAAGGAAAGGCAGATAGAGGAAAGCAATGCATTGGAGCATATCACGGTGAAAGAAGGACTCTAGACACACACTATTTCTGCTCAGAGAATCACCTAGCTGTTCCTGTGATGCTGGGTAGGCTGGCTGTTGGCACATATTCCTTTAGCACATGACTAAAGAGAAACACAATTAAAGTTCTAGAATGACTCTAAGAGATCGGGCCCTTCTTCCTCTCTACTTCGTAGAGGCAACAGCAAATGCTCCAGAGTCACAGCGAGGATGGAAGGGAAATTCTGATCATAGCCTCATACATGCAAGGAGCTCCTGTCACAAGTGAGGCAATAAAACAGCCGTTCCACATTTCTGTGAGATACTGCGGGCTTCAGTTCTTCATCTCTGGTGTGGAGAAGCAGCTCTGGTGCGTTAGGAAAACCTTGGCCATGTTCACCTTAATGAAAACATGGACAGTGAGGGAGAAGCCCTTGGGAGTTCAGATTCACCATGTGAGCAAGGTAATTTCCACAACTGCCAAATAGCTTACATGCTGGGAGAGCCTAGTGGGGGCTTAGAAAATGTTAATGGAGCTGAGAGTCTCTTAATGAGGGGAAGCTCACAGTTGGCTCACTCTGCATGAAGGTCATTAGGATAAATCCCAGACTGAAAAGGCCATGCATAGGTGGAAGACAAACACTTGTCCTGTAATCACCCAGAATTCTGGAACCAGACATGCTTCCACTCACAGTCAAGTGGAATGAATGTATTTGTCATGTCCGGTGAGACAGAGGTGGTGATATAGAAAGATCTCAGCTCTGATGCCCTCACTTCCTAGACAGACATACAAATTACCTACAAGAGAGGAGTCTTTCCTCCAAAAGGGGAGGCCTTCTTGCCAATTTCTGCTTTTTGTATTTAGTCCTCAACCTCTACAGGGGTCCACATCTCCTATTTCTTTGGAATACCCAAAACCTACCCCAGCTCAGGGACTCCACTATGGTGATCTCAATTGTTGCTCTAGCAATTGTTGTGGAGAATAATCCCAAGGCCAGTTGCTTACAGTGAGGGCAGGTGACAGATATGTAAGAGTCATTGCTAGCATTATTTATTTCAAATGTCAAAACTCGTGGAAGACAATAGCAGAATGTAGCATGCTGATGAGTACTTCGTTATACTGTATATTTACTAGTGTCTTCCTGAAGGGCTATTTTAACATACTTGTTCCTTTAATCAATGATCTGTAATCACATCAAGGAAATTAGATAAAGGCTAGAAGTAAAGTATTTAGATCCAGCTAGAAGCTCGTGGATGTTAGCAAAGGTAAATTACTAGGACAAGGAGATTAAATTTAAGTATAAAAGTAGTACTAATTTTTTTTTATCAGATTGGGAAGTTATAACCTAAGTAATGGCAAAGGGATCTGGTTGTGGTCTACAAGGTTTGCCCTTGTGAATGTGTCTAGACAAAAGGGTTGACTAGATATGTGAAACCCCATTTATCCAGTCACTTAAATCTATCACCCTTTATTCTCATTGCTTTTTTGATCCTTGCATCTGGGATAAATCTATTGGTAGCTCTCATGGCAACAGGTTATATAAGCATCTTTGTTAAATCCTTTGGCTGAATGTGGATATCATGAAGAATGTTTCCCAAATAAGAACTATTTCCCAAAAGAAGAAAGATTACAATTTGGATATCTATTTGAGTTGCAAGGCTACAAGGGGGAATGTTTATTATGGCCTTCTTTTCTTCAACTTACTTTATAAATGATAAGTTGCTTTTTATAGAACTCAAGGTTATTTTAGACCAATTAGGAAAGAAAAGGTGATATAGTAGAGTTGTTCTGTATAGTACTTCTCAAAATGAAATTGATTTAAAACATGGCATTAAATAAATAACATTGTAGAAAATGGAAATCATCCAACGTGAGTGAAAAAATATTTTCTTTTTTTCCCCCCAAATATTTCTTTGTGGCATAGTTACATTTAGCAAAGGTCTGAAACACATTTTAACCATCACAATGATAAATAATCATCATTATATTACTCTACGAAGTTTATGAACTCTATTAACTTTAATCCTCAGAACCTTTGATCAGACAGAAATGCATAGTTTGAGGCTCTTATGTCTGTGACTCGTACCATTCTAAGATGGAAATAATAATTTTCAGGTATAGGACATTTGCCAACATCTAGTGAGAATCCAATAACATTTTTCCACTGTAAAATTTTTGTTAAATTGCTTTCTATTTATGGTACATTATACTAGTTTTTCTTATGTTAGTAACTTGGAGTTTATTTTTTTTAATTTAGTGAAAATCAAGAGGCAATTAAAAAAATACATCAAATAGATAATTTACATAGGGAATTACATCAAGTAGATAATTATATCAAGTAGAGTTGGTATGCTATGAAAGGCAAAAAAAATGTTGAAATAAGTATATAAGTGACAAAAACAACAACAGCAACGAAGAAATACTCTCTTGAGAGATCTTATATAACCTAATTACAAATGAGGTACTTGTTTGCCCAGCTTATATTTAAAACACAATTATATTTATATAAAATTGAGAGATGACAGCTGGATAAATCCTATGATTGCTCTGTATAGATACTAATAAATTAGTATTTATGATCTTTTTGATCTAGGGAGCTGGGCCTTCTAAAATTTTTGTTATTTAATTTACTCTTAGGACATGGTTTAACAACATTTTTGTGAAACAAGATCAACTGTTGTATTTATTCCCCTTTTTAGATTGAGCACTGGATCAAAAGCATATAATTCTGTTATACTCAAGGTCACTTTATTTCCCTACTTAGGCAAAGTGGGATCGTGCTGTGGTATTAGCTTCAATTCTCAGAAAAGAGTTCTCTCTCTCCCTCCCTTTTGTAGATACATGTCTACTGCTAAAACTCACCAGTTTCATTGAAAAGATGGGAATAAACAACATATTATGGTCTTGACCAAACCAAACAACTTAAGGGTAAAATTAGAGCAACTATTAAAAGGCCATATTAAAAGGCTACAAAGCCATCCTGTGATAAAGTCACTAGTTGGAGATTTCTTCTCATCTGGGTGATCAATTTTACAGACATCAAATAATGAAGCCAATAGGTCCTGGGTGAGGGATAGGTAGGCTCCCTCATACCCCCAGCATTTTGAAACACTACTACTATGATACAAATGTCACTATAAAGATCTGTATCCCAGGAGCTACTACTGACATTCTTTAATGGAGTCATACTTTTTAATCTCAGCAAACACTGTAGAATGAGGACAAGGGGCCAAGGTTATCAGTGGGACAATTTGCTCAGGTTAATTTTGATTCTTCATTGAGATCTATGCTGACACATCTGAAAACCAAAGTCCGTTGGCAGTTTCCTCAACACCTCACTGGCTTCTCTGATTAGAGCCAACAAAGACTGGCACTTTATTTCCTGAAAGAATATTGTGGAACAAATCTGCAGTTAAACCTGGGCATCATGATTACTGGGTAGGGGGGTATGAGCTTTGAGCATGAAGAGTCTAAGTGAGGTAGTGATGGACAATGATGGCCAGTGATGGACAATATTGATGACCGAAGGAGAGGAGAACCTTGTCCTCATCCGTTGGACTTAATGCCATGTGATAACTCAAGCACTAAGTCTCCAGAAGATCTGGGGTAGTTGTGTAATTTTCTAGTTATTTTGTCAACATTCCTTTATCTCCATTTTGTAGAACCCCTACATACATACAACCATCTATGTGTCAGGAAAATCAGGCTTTTTAAGAAATTTGATTGTACTTGGATGAAAGACTCGTGTGTCAGACATTTGTAAGAGATCTTGCGTTTCTCACGTATTTGGGAGGGAGTGATCACTGGATTAACTTGGTGTAGGTCCATGCTTCCTCTTCCACCATTACTTCTCATTCTTACTGCCTCTCTTTACTCTGACGTGGTTGAGTTTTGCTGCTCATCTGTGACATCTCCAACTACCAGAGAAGCCACTGCATTATTTAGCAATGTTTTTAGAGAAGACAGAGGCTAAAACATAAGAATCGAATGTCTACAGACTCGAAGGCACTTGGAGGCCGTGTTTTGCAATTACCATGACAGAACGAGTACCTGCAATGGTGATTACAGTTGAAGGAATCGGGTGTTCTCTAGCAAGAACTTTCCTGAAGATAGGTTGGCCTAGCAAAAGGACAGGTAGAAAGTCAGTTGAAGAGATGGTGTTGGTTTGCTACCAGAACGTTGTGGAATTAATAAACACCATATCCACTGCAAGCCATGTTAGTGGGGGATGGAGTGTAGATTCCAGGCAAATACTCTGCATTCATCACAGGATGGCTCTCTGGTGGTTACAGAGGGAGGTTACTGTCCACAAGTGAAGCAAGTGTTCTGTGAGACACACTAGTTTATGTTTGTTATGTATGATTATGAATAGATAATGCCAGGTTCCTCCAGGGGTCTGGAAGGGAAGAGCAAGGTCTTTCAAATGACTGCTTCCAGAGTTTATATCATGAAAGCACTTGGTGTTCTGACCATTCTTGTGGTGTTGAAGTCTATTAGTGCCAACAAGATGCCCCCGAACAGGCCATCTCTTCCATGTCTCACATATAAAATGAGGATAACAGTACCTGCTCTATTTTTTGAAGGTTAAGTCAATGTAGTCAACATGTTCACTACATTTTTCACCCCCTGAAGAGTCTGAAGGGTGTCATCATCATCACAGCAAGTGCTGGGAGAACTAGGACCTAGGGTTTTCACTGAAGTCCTCATTCACTGACTGTTAGATCTAGCTGCTGTTTTATCCTATCAAAATCTGTCCAGAATTGATGTGGGAATCAAGAGACTTGGCGCTCAGTGACAAGCCTGCATTTGCTTGCCATTTATTCAGTTTGGGCAAGGGATTTATCCTCTTGGAGATCCATTTTCCTCAATTGTGAAACAAAGAAAATACATATGCGTTATCTATTTTTTGGAGTGATGGAAGTGTTTCTAACTGTCAGAATGTTCATAGTTTGGTTTCCTTAAAAAAGTTTTGTATGAGAATGATATTGTAGGGAGAGTAATATTAACAGTATCATCATTGGATACTATAACTTTAATTTGGGAATCCTATACCTATATGTTTAAGAAGTTCCATGTCTTCTCCATATTGAGCCAAAAAATTGAATTTTATTAAAATATCCATATCACTTATTTGCAACAGTTTTCTCCCTTGGACTCTCCTTCATTTTTCATTTATCTAGTATTCATAATTGCACCATTTATCAGACAAGTTGGGGTTTGAATTGAAAATATATATAATGTGTAATTTCTAGAAATAAAGGTAGAAATAAAGGGGTTGCAGGGGCGAAACAGAAACAGAACAATGTTGGGGTTAGGCAAATCATCACATGGTTTTAGAGTCAGAAGGCCCTGAGCTGAGGGGTAGGGATTTATCTCTCGGAGCTGTTTCCCTTTCCTATAAGAACAGTAAAAATCCATAAGGATGGTAATAAATGATGATTCTCACAAACTCTAATGAGCTATAATATGTAGGGTATTGCCATAAAACTGGAAGGTCAAGAGGAAATGAGTTCACAGATCCAAATAAAGGCCTTTGAATGAGGCAAGGTCTAGAACAACAGATAAAGATGAACAAATTCCAAGAGTACCTCTAGTACTTAATCTAATAAGATCTCTAAAATATTCAGGTTAGGCTGCAGACCAAATGGCCTTTTCAATTTCCACACATCCTGCCTTAAGTTTAGATGTTCACATTTAGCCATGCAAATCTACATAAAAGCTGCAGGCAACCTCCAATGGCTGAATGAATTCTTCTCTATTTTCTCTCCCTCTCAAAGTCTTGACTTCAAAGTCTCAGACTTCAAAGAAAAACTCTTTAGACTCTAAGGATACATTCTACTGTGTAGACCCTAAGTTTTAGAACTCCCTTTTGCAGGGTCAAGTGTGAATACTAGGCATTCTGGGCAATGGAAAGAGAGACAGTATCTAGGTAAGTCAAAATGGGCAATGTAGAAACTGCAATGGTACTCGAACATTCTCTTGTACTAAATGGCATTGATTTCAAGTATTTGGAGGAGATAACAACTAAAAAACCTGGGATTTTAGGTTAAAATTTCAGTTATACTTGGTGAACTACCTGACATGGAAGAATGTTTTGAAGAAAGTACAAGCCCTGGAAATGAACTCTTCACATAGTTAATGATACTTGTTTCATATGTAACCTCAATAACACAGAATGGAGTGAGGTTCAGATGAGTCAAATGTAAGGAATCCTATATAGAAATTTATCTTGTTTCACATTTGTTATCCTTTGGAAGTTCTGGGGTTTGAACTCAAGGCTTTGGGTTTATGACAAGTGATCTACTTACGGCATGCCTCCATCCTTAGGTTTAATGTTTTTATCCTTTTCAAGTTTCTGTGTCTCTGAGATCTAGCAATCATTTTGCTAGATCATTTTGTTAAGTGTTGTGACTAAAAAGAAGCAGTTGGAAGGAAGTAACTTTCTGTATTTAGAAAGTTTCCCTTTGGACAGTATCACATTGTAACTATGTGTTTAGTATTATACATTAGTTCCAGCTCTTGCCAGAGTTTTTTCAGTACTAGGAATTTGGATATTTCTTTCTAAATACTTTTGGTCAGCTCTATGATTCTTAAAATTGTGATATCTTCATGATATATTGGGATCTTTTGATATATGCACATGATAATCACAATAACAACAAATTGTAAAAATTGGTCCAGTGTCAAAAATGTGCACATTTTAAGCTTTCTATGTGAAGTTTCTTACAAATAAATACAACACAATACACACCTGTTGTTAATCTGTAAGGTGTTAACTGTGTAAAAGTAGCAAGAGCACACACCTTGTGCCATAGTTAAATGTTAAAAGTAGGTTATGGGAGAGGTGGGTTTGGTTTGATCTTTATATTATTTTGGGGAGAAATAAGAAAATATTATCTTACCATACAGGTATTTTCCTTAATTAAAAACAGATAAAAATCAGATTTTTTCAATGTTATAGTATGCTTAAAGCAAGACCATACAAATAAAATTAGATAGCATTATGTTTCAAAAATTCATACCTGTTAGTGTAAAGCCACCTGAAAAAGAAAAAGAAAACAAATAAATGTTACAATTTAAATTTTACTTCAAATAACAAAGATTATGACATTCAACAACTCAATGAAAACTTGACAAATGTACAATTTAAAAGAATATGAAAACATCCATTCATGACAAAATCATGAAGTCTTTTAAAATTATGAATTAAATGCACAAATTATTCTTAATTTATGTGAGTATCTGATAGATCTCTGATTTTTTTAAGTTATGATAACTTAAAATACAATTTAATTGAGTTGACCTTAATTAAAATGAGGCCAATGACCCTAAACAATAATCTCACTGCCCAATCAATAGACATAAAAATCAAACAACTATTATTGCATTACCTGACAGAAATGGAAAAATGGAAAGGAAATTTAAGAAGGGAAATGCTTACCAAGCTCATTCAATAACAGGGCTGTGAAGGAAACAGAGACAAACACAGAATAAGAGAACAGATGAGTAATGAAAGCAAGAGGAATATCAGCAGAAAGAAACTCAGGCAGATCTCACTATAGTGGTAAAAAGCCACCTCTACAAATCCTGGGTGCAGCCCGAGGAAATGTAAGATTGGGAATAATTCCAAATACATGATCCCAACAGAAATACTTTCAAATGCCTTAGAGTGTAAAAATACATCGCTTTATATAAAATTGTTTTAATTTAATAAAACATTTCTATTATGTATGTTTTTATATGTTATATTATCTACAAACTATAGTAGAAATCTTGTACTAAATTAAATCCTTAACTTGATTTAAGTGGCATTTCTTTATTAATTATTGACTGGGAGTTACTTGATAAGCATTTGGAAATTTTCAATCATTAAGGAGCACAGATATTACACATGTGAATTACTAAGAACAGGCAAAAGATCCTAAGAAATTTTATTTTGGCTATCATGAGACTTTGGTCCAAGGTAAAACTCTTTCTCTCTTTCTGGGCATTCTATTTGGATTATATTTTGGTACTAAGCATTGTTTATATGTCTAAAGTTCCTAAATCCCAAGAGCCTCAGGAATTGACTCCTATCTATATGTCTTTATTAGTGACTTCAGCACAATGGATGATCAGAGTGTTCTTTGTAGACATAGGACTCCACAGAAACCAACTGGGCAGGGAGTGTGGGGGAGAACACATGACTTTTCAATGATAACTTTAAAACCCAGATTATAGCATTTATTTTAATGAAAGCCTTCTGGGTCAATCTATCAAATAAATTATTTCCTAGGTTCTACATGGGAATGTTACAGTTACTTTTTAAGGTACAGTTTTCTCTCTCATGGTGTGGTAACTCAAGTAACCATTTTTTTAAAAAGTCAATAATTTTACTGATGATGAGAGTTGGTGGGTTGAAACTGGAGAGTGCCACCAAGTAATTTTAATTTTCTTTTACATGAAGGTATATTTTTCTAAAATGACAATTGAAAGAGCTGTATCCAATATTCTCTTCCCTTAGCTAAAAGACAGCTCTTTGGTGGAATGCATTGGGGAACTAAGTGATGTTAATAAGACATTTTTAAAAATCTCACTTCTATAAGACATCAGCATAGTTTTCTAAAGTGTCTTTTCTTGCTTTTTCCTACTTATGAAACTTATTAGATACGCTGCATCCAAATTGGTCTCAAATGTATCTTTCTCCACCATTCCAAAGTTTCTTTTTGCCATTTTGAACTTCACTAAGTCAGGAATGTGCACTTTCTTTTAAGACCTCTGATAGACCCTGTGGTCAGAAAGTTACCAAAAATTAGTCTTACATACTTAATATTTCCACTCTATATGTAAAAAAAATGTGTAAATTTCATATGACATAGTCCATCTACTCTCTGATCACTGACACCTATAATTAATAAGAACAATCAACAGGTAGGATTCTCACTTTACATATATAATTACATCAGCAGGATTTCTTTTAAAGTGATCACTGTCAAAGGATAATTATAGGAATCCTTAGTAATAATTCAGAACAAAGATTCCAATCCTTCCTTATCAAATATAAATTATATAAAATACAAAATAAAAGCAGTAAAAAGAATTGGATCCTTTTTCAAATGATTCCTCAAATTTTAAGTATGAATTATCAAAACTAATTGTAATGCTATTGTTATTTTTCTTTTTTGCTCTTTATGTTAAAATTCATTAATTCCATAAGAATCAGAAGACTTTGGAACGTAAGGCCAGATAGGCCTTAAATGCTCACTAGAGGATTATCTACTACCAAATTGAATAAAAATAACTTGACTATCATTTTGCATATGTGGTACATTTTAAATATTGTATTTTAAGGTATGAAAACTTTGTTCCAAAATTAATACTAGAATATGGATAATATACTGTTTTATGATTTCTATTCTGATTAAATTCTTTTTAAAAATTGGGCTTTTTAAGTATTACATATTGAATTCTGAAATGTATTATTAGTTGCCATTGGACTCATCTGCAAAGTAATTAGGAAGTAGTTTTTTTTCCTTTTAGATTCACTGAGGCAAGATTGATAGGATATTAAGTGGTTTTTGTCACTAACATTTCTGGGGAGATTTAATAGTTGAACTCCAAAGAGCAATAAAAAAAGAAACATGTTCTTTTGTATCATCATTTCTGAATTACTGAACTCTCTTCCAGTGTTAAATAAATCTGGTTGCAATCAAGGTTAGTCAGCATTTCAAAGAAAATGGGCATCATTTGGTGCAAATGTGAATTAGGGAATGCAGATGAATTTGCTAAGTTTCATGGAAGCTGAGGAAGAGGAGAGAGTTAAGTGTGAGAGTAGGGAGACACAGAGAGAGAAGAGTACAATTTCTCGCTGGTATGTCTTTATATACTCTCACACCTTTCATTCCTCTTCTTATCCATATTGGTTCCTCAAGCTCAAGGAAGAATCTGCTCTTTTTCTCATATTCCTCACGGTCAAATAGTCTAATGGTAATGATCTTCCTGTAGGAACACAAGACAAAGGCAAAACGAATGGTTGGAGTCACACGCTCATGCTCTAGATGTCCACCAAGCTGGATGTTACTGTGATGTTACAGAGGGAGAACTGGCAGCACATGGAACTCCAGACCTACGTAAAAGGGCATCTTGAGTCCTCTCAGCTGGCCTCCATTTAGTTTGCTGTGCTAAGGAATCCCTTGCACATATTCTTCCCAATTTAGTTAGCAAACATTTAGGCTTCCCAAATCAGAACGAAACATCAGAAAAGTGGCTGAACTTTGACCACGTATAGCATCTGCATCAACCTTCCCAGAAGAGGAGGCTGGATTGGCTGCATGGAAAATTCATCTTCCTGACCTGGAATGTGCAGCGTCGCCACCACTGGCTGACTGAGCTGCAGTCCAGGCCCCTGTGGCCAGTGTGAGATTCATGCCCTGTTACATAGGTGGAGGGATGTGTGCATGGTAAGTCATGTTCTGAAGAGTGCAGGCATCCAAGGAGGCACAGGCCAGCAGAAGCTGTAGGGCTTAGCCCTGGAGCAGCTCCCCCACCTTTCTTCTCACTCATCTCCACCAGGCGGGGCTCTCCAATCTCAAGGAAGAAGGTCTTGTTTTTCTCATATTCCTCATCATCAATTACCTTGACTGATATTGTTTTGCTGAAACAGAGAAGAATAGAAATTGACGAACAAGGGGAAGAAGACAGAGAAGGAACATACAGAAGAGGAAAGCGAGGTTATTGTGGTTACTGAGAGCATAGCTTCTGTCCAGGGCCACGAAATTAATTTCGAGAAAGCATATGACTCAGTGCTCATAGGTTTTTTACCATCATGAGAAGGAAAGGCAGGGAAAAAAAACTCAGATAACAATAGCAAGGAAAGAAAAATATATTTTAATTTAAAAAATGCCTTTCATTACTGAACTGAGGTGTACTCCAGAATAAGTCAATTAATCACAACAAAATATTAACAGAGCTTATCTCTGACTCCTAGAATCCTGGGGTAGTATTTCCTTCACTGTGCTTTATTATATTTCCAAGCCTAATGATTTTAAAATCATAAATTTTTATTAAGACAATAAATGTATAAAATCATTCCCTTCCTCCCTATATAATGTATATTAATATGTACAATATAAGATATAAACATATATAAGATATAATAATATATAAGATATACATATACATATGTATATATCTTTCTCGCTTTCTCCATCCAATGTTCTCGAATCTTATTCAGGTTAGTCAGATTTTTCAACCTAGACCACACAGGCAGCTTGTTCATGTTTTGTTTGCCTTTCTAAAGATGGAAACTGTCTTCAAAACAGCTGTTTTGAAAGTGGGGTGGCAGTGGCAGCGGGGGGGGGAGTCATGATGCTGTAGTTATTTTCATTCATCTCAAAGTCAAATTCTGACTTGCACTAACTCTGCTGGTTACATTACTTTCAAACTCCACTGATTCAAAACAGAGTTTCAGTAGGAGTTCTTTTGAATCTAACTTCCAGCCATTTTTACCCTTTGGGCTTAGGGCTGTTAAATCACTGTCAGGTAGGCAGAACAGATGAAAAGCTATGCAAGTTTCAAGTTCCTTGATCCTTGATGGCTCCTCAACCTAATGTTCCATTTTTAATTAATATAGGCTTAAAAAGGTAGCATATTACAACTTCCTAGGAACTCTATAAACACAGATTTGGTTTTAAAAATATTAACATCTGCCAAGAAGAGTTCTGATTAAGAATTTTGAAACAATGAGTTTCTATAACACAAAATTATTTAATTTTGGTAGAGTTTTCTATTTAATTTTGGTGAAGTCTTCTAGATGGAAACTGGTTTATAATTTTTTGTTTTAATTTTACTGATCAAAGCCATCAAATTTCACTCAGACCTGTGCTTACTAAAGACCATTAGTCTTTCTTAGTATGAAAGCAGCATAGTTAAAAGTTGTTCTTGCTTTTCTGGATTTCCCAGCTTCTAATGTCAAATGCTTATATCTTGCTTGTTTGGATTAGCATTATAGAAGTGAGATCAAATGGTGGTTCTGATGGTATCCTGTTTTTTTCTCATCATTACTGCTTGATGGTAACATCCTAATATCTCACTCCCAAGATGCTAGAACTCACAAGTCTTTTCTAACTGTCTTCAAAGGCAATGAATGGAAAAGGTAAATTGGTAAATATATAGACAGAGTTTTACTCTGTTATAAAATAAGAATGCAATTGTTTCATTTAGAGGAAAATGGGTGAAGTGAAATAAGCAAAGTCCCACAAAGATTAATATTGTATGTTCTCTCTCATTGCTGGAATTTAGGAGAAAAAGGGACATGAATGTAAAAGGGGAATTACCAAGAATGCAAAAGGAGAGGAGCAAAGCAAGGAGATAAGAAAAAGTAACACACAAGTATATCATATGCATTTATGGAAATGTCATGAAACTGTTTACTTTGTACAATTAATATGCTAATAGCAATCACTTATTTTAGAAGAGATGTTAACAAAACTCCCAGCAATATGACAAAGTTCAATTACATGTACAGAGTGTAGAATTTCTGCCTGTTGTTTAGAATTATTTTCTAGAATTCACCTGTTTACTTTCTACATAAAAAAAAAGCAGCCTGACTTGACTAGATTGGGATACTTCATTGTTTCTCCATGTCTGAAAATACAAAACATTAGAAGAATCCATTGAGAACAGACATAATAAGGCATGATAATAAGCATACTTTCTATCTCAGATCTGAATTTGATAATTTATAGATCAAATTTACTCTACAAAACCCCACCCAACACCAACACTAACACCTTTCTTTGTTACCAACACCTGTGCTCTCTAGGTATCAATGTCTGTCTTTTCCTCTTGCAACCTTTTTTTTTAAATTAAGTTTTTTTTTATTGTGAAAATACTGTACAAAGGGGTTACAGTTACATGAGCAACGTGATGAATACATTTCTTATCCAGCATTGTTGCCTGCTCCTTTGTTTTTCCCCTACCATCCCTTCCCTCCCACCTCCTCAGCTACCCCCTAACCTGCCTAAACTGTAAAGTTCATTTTTTGACATAGCATCTTGTACACCTCATTGTTGAAATGGGTCTAGGTTATACACCTTTACTAATGAAAGCAGTATCATGAGACCAAGGGATAGAGGAACACTGATTGGGCCTTGCCACTGTCCTCAGGACTGATAGCCCAATATTCATTATCAAGGCACTTCATGTTGGGGCACATCACACTGGGTTGCTCCCCACTGCAAATAGAGTACTGTTGCAATACTCTTCCTCATATTACATAAAAACATTTCCTTTATTTTTCTACTTTGTATTCCCAGCCCACATGTCACTGTATATTTTAATGGAATAAAGAAAAATAATTTTAAAAAAATAAAGTTTAGGCAGATGGTTGGAGTCACTTTGCTAGTGAGTGTTTGCATAGAAAATATACTGATTTTATGACAAGAGGGCAATTGAAAGTTTATCAGGAGAAAACCATTATTCACTTAGATTGTAATCCTTGGAAAAGAATTCAGTATTTGATAACTGACCCAGGAAAATGAAAGATGAAGAAGAAAAGTACATCTGCACTATTGCTGTTACAAGTTACCTCATAAAGATATCTAAAATAGATGGCATTTGCATAATAGCATATCATTTCAAAATCATTTGAAATAGAATCAATAATACCCCTGACAAGAGAAGCCATTAAACTATATATTGATTTCATTTCTTTTGAACAGAAAGCTATTAATAGATAACATGGTTATTAAAAGACATTTATCAGTCCTTAAGAGTTAGCCCCTTAAATCCAATCAAGAGAGGCAAAACCAGAAGGCATTAGAATGTTCACATTCTACTTCAGAACAGATTCATTTCTCCCTCCAAGGAAAAACAGCCAATTTGGAACTACCACTGTAATTTTTAAAGGAACATATCCCTAGGATCATACAACCCAGTCACCTTCTTTCTTACTTTCTGAAGCCTGATGTATAAGGATAGCAGCTGCCCATCAATCCTTTCATTACAGTGCATATTACATGAGATAGCCTGGCTTGGTGAAGATTCCAGTAAATACCTGCATATCAGCAGGAGTACACCTCGGCTTCTTACTGTTCTCAAAGTAAAATGGAACTGCAAGGACAAGGGTTAACTTCAAGGTCTTCTGGTCTACCCCACTGCTACAACAACCTAGGGATCCCACCTCCCTGAGAACAACACAGATTCATATTGACTGCTCTGTTTTGTTTGCCAATGGGAATAGTCAGATAGATGCTGTAATTTCTTCAAATGAACCCATTAACAAGATCAAGACTGGAGCAGTTGGGTAGATACAGTCTTCCATCCAGCTGTAACACTGAGAAGAATGAATGGAGAAACTGGTATCATGTAATTTTCAACTACCATCATTATTATAAAGAAAATTCACTTGACTATTTTTTATGTAACCCTTTGAAGTTGACCATTGTACTATAAAACTGTGTTTTCTGGAAACTAGCAGGGCAGATACAAATCTTATGATAACATTAAAATATTTCTAAATGTGGCCAAAATTATTATGGAACCTCATTTTTGTTCCAATCCAAGAAGAAAACATTAGTTAAGAAAGAATCAAGTTATTTAGTGGCCAAATACAGATCATTCCTTTTGATCTTTACAATGCCTTTCATGTAATGATAGAAGCCCAACATCTGTTATTTCACTTCTCAGGCTCTCTTTCTTATCTGATGTATCTCAAAGGATGCCAACCCACGCCTTTCAAACAGACTGACAAGGCATCCTTGTCTCTGGAAGTGAGTCAGGCAGTGAAAAAGGAAAGGAAGACATGGCCTTATTAGTGGAGATCGAAAAGAAAATTTCTCCCAAATATATTTTAGCTTCTTATTCAACCAAAGGTAGTATATCATGATCTTTTGGGGGTCATTTTTAGTCTTAATTTGTATTTCTGAGGTTTCTTTCCTCTGTCACTGATATTGGAAAAAGATGATAAAAAGATGAGTTGAAGACTGGAGACTCTTCTC